TGTGTTTTGCATAAAACTTGCACATTTCCATGGAGATGCACAGTAGAGGCAGGTGAATTCAATTAGGAGCATTTGGACATGGAGACCTGTAGCCTCAGCATGAATTAAAAGGTTATTTTTAATCATCTCCATACTGGAACAGTTTTCCTTGGTAATCGGTTGGCTCCTGAGGAGTTCTGTTAAAAACACTCACGCTACATGCTGCCTCATAGAACAAGATAAACGCTCTCACCTTGGAGGAAAACAAGGTTGATGTTATCAGCCTAAAATCCCTGATTCATGTATCAGTGATTCATTTTAATATGCTTTATGCAAGTCTAGTAGCAGTGACTGCTAGGAGTTAGTGGAGCTGGGGAACTTGCAGACATCTTCTTGGGCCTATGTAAAGCAAGCAGCAGAGAGTTGCTAAAGATGTTTGGGGCTTGGAGAAGACCTCACACCACAATGATGCGGCAGAACTCTGGAGAAAAGCAGTGCTATCACCCTGAGATCTGTCTCAAGACTGCCTGTGCAAGCCTTTTCCATTCAACCCGTGTCTCCACGACATTTTTGAAAGAAATGTCATAGAACTGAAACATAAACACTAAGAACTGATCTCAAGCAAACCATGCTCTCCAGTGCCGCTGTGCTTCCTTTTTTTTCCCTCCAAGTTCTCCAGTTCACTTGGGTCTCCCCATCACAAACAATGTGGGCCATTCAAATGTCATTTTCATTAGCTAATCATAATACAAAGATAATAGTCACCCAGCCAACCCCCCACTCAGTATAAACCAATGTCGGCAGAGTAAACAAAGTGTGGAATCAGACTGGTGAGACAATGGATACGTCTTTTTAGGGAAAGAAGAACTGCTGCACTCTTTCCTCATGCTCATTTTATATCTCCACCATGGCCTCTATGGCAGTTCTTGTATCCTGCTACTTTTCATGCAACGCTGAATGGCACCTCAGCCAAACAGCATCCCACCAAATATCTTTCCAAATCAGAGCACCTCTCCATGTGCTGCTCTTGTCATCACCATGGAGCTGTTTTTCGTTGATGGCGTGACATTGGCACGGGCTCCCTGTTTTTCTTTTGCCTGCCTTAGCTCGGCACACAGAGCCAGAGTGTAATCCATGAGCTTTAAACTATCAGAATGAGACTATCAGAATGAGGGCATTTCTCCCAATGACGACATAAGTGTGGCACGTGTTACAGTTTGAAGTCTTGTGAATACTTCCCAGTAGGAAAAAATACTGACTTCATTAGACATGCAGGAAAGGGGACTGTCACCAGCGTAGTGTTTTAGGATCAGGCGTGTTCGGGGGTTTGGGGTCAGGCGCGTTTTGAGACTTTGGGTGTCTTTGGAATGCAGCTGATTGTTTCCTCCCAGACTAGTGGATATGAGAGAAAGGGGTATGGTCGGGGGGAGGACTGGCAAAGTGCAAGAGGTTGAAAACGTACCTTGGAAATGAGAAGCCATTTTCCACTTCCATACATGCTGGGATTTATGGTGACAACCGTTGCTATTTAGAGACCAAAACGTACTTTCTTGAAAAATTAAAGCATAACAAACCGCAGGGTTTTTGTTTTAAGCAAATAAACATCCAGATTCCTACAACCACTGAAATGTGGCAAGATATTAGAAACATAAATACGTTCAGAAGAATGAAATAGATGACAGCATCTCTGTACCAGACAAGGGTATTTTTCATTTAATATGTTAGTGATTTCTGATATCATTAAAATTCCATCATAATATTCTGTGAGGTGGTAGCCAAGATAAACCATGATTTTTTTGGAGTCCAGTTTGGTTCAGCCTCTAAAGATGAAAGCACACAAGCAGGTTACCATTAGGATGTCACATGAATCTGCCTGGACAGTGAACCTTTATTAAAAACAGCCAGACAAAACTCAGCATGATCTGTTTGCACTGCACAGGCCACAATTTAATAGCAAAAGCACTCTCTCCATACTTAAAAATGTCCTTTTCCTGAGCCTACCCAGAAACCTTGTTGGTCCCTGCCGCTTTGGGTTTCAGTATTTATACTGTAGAATGTTGAGCTTCTGGTTTTGGCGCACGGATGAAATGAAGCTATGTCTGAGGAATGAGACACTCTTTCCGTGCCCTCGCTATCACATTTCAGCTGCATGTCTTTCGAGAGGGATCTCGCTTGAGTGGAGCTGCCTTACCTCCAAATGCCCTTCGAAACCTCACCAGTTTCATCCGCTCTCAGCAAGTTGTTGGGTTTTAACCTAAGCCCCCTTTGCTCATGTGTTTGGTCTGTGTCTTTTCAGAATTATTCCTGACGGGAAAAAAATTTAGGCTTGTATCTTTATGACATGGTGTTAAAGCAATCGGTAGGCCACAAACATGATTTATACACCATCCAGTTGGTCCAGAACTTGAAGTGCACCATTGAAGGTGAGAATAGAGCATACCTGTTCTTTTAGCTGTTTCCAACCATCTACTGTTTCATGTTTAGTATATGGGGGTTTTCCATTAATTTTCCATTCTTGATCTTGCTTGACAGTCGGTTCTCCATCGGTTTGATATTCTTGGGAAAGATGAATGTTCTGTTTCCACTACTACCTGAAGACAAGATGGTTCAAACTTGTGTCACGATCAGTGTGACAACTGCAGTATCTAAGTTATGATAACGGTGAATGCTCCAGTGTCTATTATTAATAATAACGCCAACTTGTTGTCTTTGTGGTTTGAAAGGGCAAACTGTGGTTGCGTAATTTACAACATCCTGTTTTATTAAATATTTTGGGTGTGCATTTTTTGCATTACAGGAAAGCCGGCCTGATTCTGTCGCAGCTTAATGACCTCAGCAGTTGGTGTCGAGGGCTTCTCCAAGAACCTAAAATTGGCCTGCGCAGAGCATCTCTCAAATACCTGTCCTGCCGCTACACAGACACCAAGGCATTCGGTCTCAACTGGGTGGACCTTGGCCAAGACTTGCGCAAGGCCTGCGATGAGCAAATGCTGCCTGTAATGTATAATGACTATGGGGAACCTAAAGAACTCTGAATGTGAACATGGACAATAAGGGACTCTGGAGTCCACAGCTGGAGTCTCATCTTTTATTCTGGTTCTTTGACTCCTCTCCAAGACACTACAGCTGATATTCTACATCTCTTTTTAATGTTCCTTCTCTATCAGTTGAATTTATCCATTTGATAATTGTTGGTTGATCAACCTATACAGGAATTGAGATCATAACTGGTTTTGCAGTAATTTTGCACTGGAACTGCAAGGCTAACATTTTCTGTAGGACACAGCAGTGGAACACATTCATCAACATGCACACTTCACACCCAAACCATATGGGGAACTTGTTTCCTACTATATCAATGTTTCTGTAGACATGTAAAAGGAAACTAAGTACCAATGATTTTAGTCACATTTTCCACTTTTTTCCACTGTTTTATGTGTTACTGTCTTGTGTTTGTGTCTTCCTTTTCTTATTTCTCTCTCATAATTGCTATATGTTACTACTCTACATGCCTGTATTTGTTTAAATTTTTAATTTATTGTAACGCTCATTGCATTGGCACCTTTGTACAGCCTACACTATGTAAATAAGACATGACTGATTGATGTGTTTATTGATAGTGCAGTTGTACAGTGGGGAAGGCCAAAATCAGTCTTTACATAAATAACTAAACGAATGAATGAACAAGAATAAATACACATCTTTACATGCAATGTTGCTAATCTACGTAAAGTCGCATCCAGTCTCTTGAGATCATGCAAAGTGCTAGGGTTTGACAGGATTAAAAAAAGAACAGTTCTTGATCCAAGCTTGGTCACTATGGATTGTAAATGAGTTTATTGCCAAAACAGTTTTACCCTGATATGGTACTGATACGTTTATATTCACATGGCAATTACAAGCAATAAGGTTTGGAGCAATGGTGTGATGATCTTGGCATATAATTTGTTGGGGGTTGGGGCTTTTTCTTTTCTTGTCAGCAATGTTAGCCTTGTAGTGCCAGTGCAGATCTCCAGATGTCAAGTCTGAACTCCAGACATGTCTTGCTTGATCAACCACATTTGGGGTAAGTGGGAACTAAAGTGAATTTGATTTCAGTAGAGCTATTTCTTTCAGGTTGACAGAGGGAAGGTGTTTGGTGAGGAGCCCTTCAGAACCTTGAGCAGCCCCATCCTATCGTGTCTGGTTTCACAACAAGCAGTCATGAGAAGTGTTTTTGGACTCACTTTCTTTTTGCCAATTATGTTGGCTACTATACAGAGTTTCTAAAGCTCTCAAGATGGACATATGTACAGTTACAAAGCTACTCATTTTTCAAAGCAGCATTTAGATACAGCGGTGTTTCCACAAATAGAGAACACACCAGCTTATATAGGTAGAAAGCCTTACTTGCTTTTCCACAGGAACTGAGTCTGTATCTTCTTGTTGTGCTAAAAAAAGTATGTCTGTATGTAGTGCATCTAAATATGGGGGGGTGATATGTATTATATAATTAATGAGAAAGCTAATGTAAATGTTTAAAGCAGACTGAATTTCCTAATGTACTGAATGTAGTATTGAAACTGAAATGACATGTTTTGAAGCTGTACAGCTGTACAGTGTTGGGACAGGACTGCTTCTGAATTGTTTACAGTAATCTGTCTTGTTAATGTTTCTAATTATTTGTTATTCCAAGTAAAAGTGACCCAAAAGTATTTGGTCCTCGCATCAGTGATTGAATGCACAGAGAGAGCTGCCTGACGAAAACCTCTGCTCGAAAACTACCATCAACGTCTTTCCTTGGAGATGATGTCTTAATTCCACATGACTGAATTTTGATTGAACAGTAACACCTAAATAAAAGTTGTAAAATCATAATAAATATTAATTATGTTATTATATCTCTTAAGTGGTAAAGATTTTTGAGGATGATAGCAGCTGTTCCTAATACAGCACATGAAACACTTTAAAAATCACTTAGAAAATGTTGGTGTTTTAATGTTGTTTGTGTTCACTTTATTGATATACCAGTAAAACCACACTTTGACAGGTAGAATGACATAGAAGAACTGTAGGTCATATACTTTCAATTCAGTTTGCTTTTTAATTCAAAGCATTCATGCATATACTGTAAATCAGTACCACTGATGCAGAATTGTGCCGGCTGAAGACATGTTTAACAGAAAATGTGGCACTAAACAACCCATCAGTACATTAATCAGTATAAAACTTTTTTAAAATTCTGCTATATATGAAATAAACATGGAGAGCTTTTGGTTGCTATGGCGTTTACAAATGCTTTCTAGATAAAATGTTAAAATATGTGATCTACAACTACTCCAATGTTAAAGCTTCTCAAAATATATTAGTGAAGATTTTATAGAGTAATGTTTGAACAGAGGTGTGTATTTGTGTTGCTGGAGCTGCTTGCTGCTTTGGATTGGGCAGACTTTTCTTATGAGGTTTTTTTCCTGAAAGCAGTGATGGAGTTCTTCACCTCACACAGCTCCAGACTCAGCTTGTTCAACCTGCTCAGCTTTCCCCTTGTTCTCTTCTGCCTCAGGGTCTCGACATGTACATTCATCATGATCGCAGTCTACACCAAACTGGATGACCTGTCCATCAGATCAGACAGGGTTAGGGTCCCCACTTCCAAACTACAGATACCTGATATGCTTTATGGCTTGCTTAGCCTCAGACCCACACACAAACATTGAAAAGAAGGTCAAAACATGGCTCGGAGGAGAAACTCTGTTGAGAAACACTTTGGCTGCTGATAAATCCCACTAGCGTGAGGGAGCATAGCCTTGCAAAAACAAGGGCACACAGCCTGCTGATATCAAAAACTACTCTGTAGGCCTTTAAAAAAAAGTAAGTAATCGATCATGGTGTGGGCTGGATGTGGTCACAGTGGTTTATGAAAATGAAACTGAATACACAAATACATACATACATACATACATACATACATGTACACTAAACAGCCACTTAATTAACTACACTTCCTTATATCTACATTCACTGTCCATTTTATCAACTACACTTACAATACAGCTGCACTCTGTTAGCCCCCGTTTACCCTGTTTTTCAATGGTCAGGACCACCACAAAGCAGGTATTATTTGGTTGGTGGATCATTCTCAGCACTGCAGTGACTCTGACGTGGTGGTGTGTTGCACTGGTACAAGTGGATCAGACAGCAGTGCTGCTGAAGTTTTTAAACACCTCAGTGTCCTGCTGGACTGAGAATAGTCCACCAACCAAAAATATCCCACCAATGGGCAGCATCCAGTGACCTGTGACTGATGAAGGACAGGTTTAGTGAATGTATTGGACTACAGGATGACCAACGCGAACTTTGCAGCAACAGATGAACTGCTGTATCTGACTTTACATCTACAGGGTGGACCAACAAGGTAGGAGGGTCTAGTAGAGTTCACAGCCAGAGAGGACACAGTGTTTAAAAACTCCAGCAGCACTGCTGTCTGATCCACTCGTGCCAGTGCAACACAAACTGCCACGTCAGTGTCACTGGAGTGCTGAGAATGATCCTTCTCTGTGTTGGTCCTGTGGGGGTCCTGACCATTGAAGAGCAGGCTAAAAGGGAGCTAACAAAGTATGCAGAGAAACAGAAAGACTACAGTCTGTAATTTTAGGACTACAGACAGCACCTGTATGGTAAGTGGACCTTATAAAATAGACAGTAAGTGCAGATACAAGGAGGTGAACTTTGGGAGCCCCAGATCAATTTACTTCTCTTGTCGATTTTCTAAGTGAAAATAAGTACACATACTCTATTTGCTGAATTTATGTTGGGGGAATAAATAAAACATAAAATGTGGCCTGTGCAAAAGTTATACCACATTTTATGTTAAACTCAATTTAAGAAGAGTTTCATTCCAAACAATTTTTTATTAATATTAAAGTTTTGAAAAGAATGACAGCTGCCATATATTGGAAAAAAACATTTTTATTTCTGTAATCATAATATTGCATTAAAATATCTCAAGTGTAAAGCCCACTCCCAGCAACGTACATCATGAATGGAAAAGAAAATTCTTGCAAGTGGTCTGTGTTGCGTTTTGGAATGAAACCCTTCACATACATTATTTGGTAATATATGAAACATACAATGAAAATGAGAAAACCCTCATTTTCAAAGGGCAGCAGCTGAGTTACTCTCTCAGCCATGTGACGAGTAGTTAGCAAGTGGTTACAAGACAGATCTAAAATTTAAACTGAATGGAATATACACTTGCATTACTTTAGAGTATATGAAATATACAGTGAAAATTAAAAGGCTGGGACCATTATGTATCTTTTTCTACAGAGGCTAAAGGCCTTTCTTTAGGAATCCAGCCATATGACAAGCAGTTAGCAATTTTTACATTACAATACAAAAACTAAAATTTATACTAGGCACGTAGAACATTTCATTTATGACCCCAATGGACCAGGTTTGTTCTCTGGGGTTGTGTGAGTAAAATCTGAATTTATTACTTAGTGGACCTTTACTAACAGGGCAAAGAAGAAGAAGCTGCAGATCAAAGCAGGAATGTTACTGTGCAGCACAGCAGTGAGTAAATGGAGGGATAGAAACACTGGCTTTTGTGGAGAAGAGACCCAGCAGTATGGTGTGAGGTGAGAGACGATGAAGATATATTAAGAATCAAAGACAGGTTGCAAAATAAGCATAGAGCGTTGTTTGTTTTTTATTTACGCCTACCCATTTTCTGAAAAACACCACCTACTTGCAATAGAACTGGTAGTAGTTCATACCATAGAGGTTCTGCTGTGGCTGTATGGAATACGAGGGGGGGGGAAATAAGGCAACTAATAGAGTTTAGGAGAGTATTCTATGAAGTAGGATTTCTCAGTTAACCTTATAAAAAAAATCAATCGTGTCCATTAAGAGGAAAGGTCAACGACAATCCCCACTTTGAGCTCAGGTTATCCAGTTTACCGGGAAATCATGTTTTGGGAAATCTGCTTTCATCTGCTGTTTTCAGGATGTAACTGTTTTAGTGAGGCAAGTGGATTAAGAAATGGAAGAGCTGGCTGACACTGCAAGGCTATTAAAAATTTATTTATTTAGCCAGGAAGGAGGTTGAGTTTTTTTGGCTTGTGTGGTGATTCACTGAGCATGGCAACCGAAAGCCAGGTGACGCTCTTCTTCTTTCAATGATCAGTGTTCAGACATTTAAAGTATTTGTTTCTTGGGCATTTGGGTGATACAGAAAATGATTTTTGGAATCTCTTCTGGAAGTCCTAGTTAGGAATCACCAAAACAATGCCACATCTCAAAGTTTCTTAACAGAGTTAAACACAGGCCTACATGCTGGTTAAGGAGTTTACTCTTATAACTATGCTGCAGTACCACACGCTGTTCAGTAATTATGGAATGCATCACACAACATAATGCGTGTGAGTATTAGACCACCTGGACATATCAGAATTTTGTTTAAAATACGCTGTAGTGCTAGCAGTGAGACAGAAACTGCAGTGAAGATCATGCTCGCTATCCTCTACTGTCAGCACTCACTTCTGGCACTCAGCCTAGATGCTTTTAAACCAGAATGCCCCCATCAACATGTCCGCTGTGCAGACCAAGACATCGACAGGGCCAGTGTAAACACACAAGTAGCAGTTCCGTTGGACGCATGGTGGCAGGATGCTTCCTCTCATGGTTTATTTCGCTTTCTCTGTGCCTGCTTGTTAAAAAGCACTGTTTTTACAATCGCCCATGATCACTGACACCTGGCCTTGCCTAATAAAACTTGCACCAACCAGTCATTTATTTATGCCGGCCACTCTTTCCCCTGAGCTCACTGCTCTCTCTGGGAGAGCCTCTCACTGGGTGACTCACGACAGGAGCATTCATGGGAAAGACTGACATCCTGCTATAACCAGGTATGAAAAAGAACACTGTAGCTACAAAGCCTGCCCTGTAAGATGAGCGACAGCAAAGATGTAGAGATGAAAACGTGTACCTACAGAATGTGCAACGACAATGGCAAAGATAGAGAAAGAATGAAATTATGATATTGTATTCCACTGTAACCAGTAGAAGAACAAATGGATTAAAATTTGGCCTTAAAAAAAAAAAAAGTTGAATTTTACCTTTCTAGTGGAAAGAGTGGATGGACAGCAGTCACCTCCATCATATTGGCAGTAGGCTCTGTTGTTGATGGTGTCACACCATCCGTCTCCAGCAAATGGCTTAGGGAAAAGAGAATTAGCTTTAAAGTCTGTTATCATTTTCAAAACACAACTCACCAACAATAACAAATTTCATTTGCAATCCATCTGCCAGCAGCATCTTTCTAACCAAAACCTTCCAGACTTTGGCTTTTATGGTTGTTGTTTTTTTTCTTTTTTCAGCCCCAAAAATATTTCTATCATTAAGGATTATTACTAAACTGCAAAATCAAATTGGGCAAAATACAGCTTCGTTCTCAAAATACCCCAGTGCTCTAATCAGATTTCATGCATGAACACATTTTTCCATTGTGACAACTGAAGATCAACACCTATCTCTAAATGTTAGAAGAAACAGAGTCTCCTTGAATCAATCCCAATGACATTCTAACACTGAGAATTAGGCCAAAAGGCTAATTCATTCATATGAAAATAAAAGAGATATACTAGATTGGCCTTAGCCCATCCAGTATTTGATATTCCACAAGCTTCCTAATCCCCCTACTTAGATGTCATGGTTCGGAACCATTACTTCACCTGTGCGAGAGAAAACTTGTAGTTAGGCATTTTGCAATGCTTTTGGGAGTTAAGTCCAACTTTCTGGAATGGTCTACAATTATCAAATTTGAGTTACATAAAAACCTCAAATGCGTCATAATGACAGCCTTTAACTTTTTCAACTTAACCTTAGGGTTTTGGTGCCAAAAATAAGAAAACAAGAGCAGCCTGCCAAAGATACTTTTGGCTTTCCTCAAGCATGTGGAGTCATTTCAAAGAGTCCAGGTTGTACCTGAACCCACAGCCCAGCACAGGAACAGCTGCTGTGGAGATTTCTGTAGAATTTCACCCCTGATAAAGTACACCTAATCCAAAATGTTTTTCCTGTCCTGTCCTAAACGCCAGGTCATAAACAAATATCATTTTTCATTGTTCTGTTTAAAGCTTTTATGTTTGGCCAGTGATCAATAATGACTTGTTGGTCAAGTGATTTATGGTAAAGCATGAACAAAAGTCAGATGTGTATTCTTGTTCAAAGTAAATTTAGCCATCTAATTACTTTGCTATTACTTTGTCCATTGAAATTACTAATTTGGAATAAAAACACATTCTTTGAAAGGCCTGGGAATTGCACCGCATTATTGCATTATTCAGTCTCGTACATTAAAGCTCTAACCATGAACTGTTGCAGCTGGAGGACTATTTTGCAGCTATGATAACAAAACCGTTGAAGAAGCATTGGAAAACCACATCAAGTGTAGGGGCCCAGTGTTATGTCACAGCACAATGTCCTCTGCTAGTAAATTCAGCGGCTATATCGTCACATTCATGGCACTGTATCAGTAATTCCTGACTGGGACTATAAACGCATGAAGGTACAATAAGTGCTGTGACCCAGTAGCTCAGCTGGAGTAGCAGTAAACGGGAAGGATGAATGGAATTCATCTGTTCAAGCTGCAATACAAGACCATAAAAGTTAGCATCTACGCAGAGTGGCCAATTCAGCCATTCACATCCCTCCAGCAGAAGGTATCAGTTCCTATAAATATTGCCTGCCAAAATGTTATCAACAATTTGGAATATAGTGCTGCCCTTTTTTCTCTCCTACCACTTTGCTGACACATTTTCAACAATTCAACAATTTCAACATTTTCAGCTCCTCACTTTACACCCCATTCTCAGTAGGAGAGAGTGAGAGAAGCACTTTTTTTCCACTTGATGCGTCATTCTCTGAAGGTTTGCGTTTAAAAGATGTGCCTGCGTGGGTATTCCAGGGGAGGTGGGAGGTTACAGACCACACGGATGGAGCCGAATCATTTTCCAATGTGAAAAATCTAGAGGGGGGGTCTTGTCTAAATTAGAACTACTCCCCAGACTTTGACTGATGCCTTCTACGTATGCAGCTAGCAATTGCATAACAGAACTATGGTAGCCACTTATGCCCTTTTTCCCTGAAATGTTGTTTTGGGCAGGGGGCACATTCTCCAAAAAATCTGCAGACACATTGAATCGATCTCACTGAATCTCATCGTCTGTGGGAAAGCACTCGCACCAGCCTGTGGATGGGACCTTTATTTGACCATAAACGCATTGCTTCAGAATCCCAGCTTGAAACCACTTTGGGACATTTCATTTTTCTCTGTGATAGTTTTAAAAAAGGGCTTTCAGCAAAGAGCTGCTCTCCCATTTCCCCATAAAAACAATCAAGGTGTCTCTTTACCTTATGCAGCGCTGAGAGAAATGTAATCCCTGAAGATCACACTGATGTGTGGCAGGAAGACAAACTCAGCAGACCGACTGACCAACCATGTCTAATGCTAGGTGCGAAACACAATAAACAAAATAGACACCATGGCAACAGCCGCTAATGTTTTGAGACTCGTTGTTAGTGCTGGCATCTTGATTCACTGAAGTATGAACCTCTTGATTGGGTCTCCCCGGAGAATCCCAAAAGGCAGCTAATTATGTTCCCTCCTAGTTCACTTCTGATGTAAAGTGTTTTAAAAATAATTAAATAAAATCAGACCATGCCAAACACATGTCTAAAAGTACAGTAACACTTATTATCAGGGGTGGAAGTTATATTTTTTATACAGTGTACTTAATATTTTTATGTATTCCTGTTTTCACATGCTCCTGAAGTGGTTATATTTGCAGTCATTCCATTTTCAGCTATGCCACTCAGTCATACTGTTTTCAGTATCTGTTCAGTTTCTAAAAACATATTATATTTGCTAGTACATGGCAATTCCTTTTGACACTGTCACATCAGAATCTATAGAAAAAGACAATGGAGAGCTGCGCTCTCATTTGGAGTTTGCAAGCAGGCATGCAGAAGGGGCCTTAAGAAGAAGCTCATGGAAGTTGCACTTCCCCGCTTTAAGCGACAGTTATTGTTGATTATGTTGTTGTTGCAGGGCTTGAGATGTGTTTATGCATTTCATGGGCTTATTGTGTTGAGGTGTGGCTTCATTTAGTGTGGGTTAGTGTTGTCTATAAAGATAAAGCATATGGCTGGGACTGACCTGCCTCCATTAAAATTGTTTCTTTCAGTGGTCTTTCTGCCTCAATACAACTCATCCTTCGGTGCACATTCTGCGCTATATTTACACCACAGTTGTAGAGGTAAAGGACTTCGTACATGCTACCTGCATGTAAATGTGAGTGTGCAGCTAATACGCTTTGAGTTGAACAGCATGCCTTCACTCCTGAGTCTTGACTGGGGTAAACCAAAGCATTCCGCTTTACCATCCTTAACCAGCAGTAATAGCGCATTCAAAGCCAAGAGAAATGAGCAGAATGGTACAGCGATTCAAAATCATAATGTATTCACAACACAGAGTTACCATTTCACATAATCAATCCAAAATAACATGAAAAACATCCACTTCAAGTTTACATCACTAGGCACATGTGCCAAAAGTGATTTCACTGTAGCTTTTAAAATTAACTGGTAGCTAAAACAGTCAGTCAGACTACAATATAAATCAACAAATTTAAACCTTACACTAGCAGAAATTATTGTAATTTTTTCTCTAGCTCTAATAGTCATGGTATGAATGTATGCTTATATGGTTTTGAAACAAATGCGTCAGAATGCTGCTAAAGTGTCCCAAAGATGGCTGATGACATATTTTGTGTGATACACTTTTGAGAAATTTCAGCAAAACTGTGCAACAATCTTAATGAGAAACAGGAGTACAACACTTCAGATGGCTGGCCTGGCCTAAAGCTTTAATGGGGCCTGAAATTTTGATCTGAAATTGAAAACAGCCCAAGAACATTCCCAATCCACAGCACCAAGTTTGGAATTTGAACCTGACTACAGCCCAACCAAAGCCTGTCTGAAATCAACCTGAACTTGCTGTTTTAATCACATTTTTGCACAGGTTAACTTTGTGGAACTTCAACAGCATGAATGATTACAGTGAGCCAAAATGAAAAATGTTTATAGTAATACATGTAAGAGGAAGAATAAAGAAGAAAGATAAGTTAAAACAGGTTAAATGCACACCAAAAATGAATTACAGCTGGGAGACTATGAGACTATGAGAAACATCAAGAAATCTGAACTCTTTGGTGTCTCAGTTTTTTAGACAAACCCCCTAAAAAAATCTCATACAATGTAGGACTTGGTGGCTTCATGGGAAAAGCCTTGCCTCATATCCAAGAGGTTGATTTTTCAAATCTAGCAAGGTCTTTGACTTGGTTGTGATAGGATGGCACTGGGGATAGAAGGGGGGAAAAGTGAAGTAGAATGGGGAAGGATAGAAGTCAAAAACATAAGCAGTCCTGTTTCTTCTAAAGTTAAAGCTTAGCAGTTAAAACACACACACACACACACACACACACACACACACACACACACACACAGGGCTGCATTTCAGGCTCCACTATCTTTTCTTGTCCTCTCACAAAGGGAAAGCTCAGATATTCCCCACACCATTCTTGGGCATCACCCTCCAGCCCTCCTGGCACTCTATGTACATCTTGCCTTTGAGCCTTACTCACACTTCATATTCATCTCCCCATGTGTAATCTAGAGATCCTGATCAGGATTTAAACTGACAACCACCTGCCTGCAGAGGAAAGGCATCTACCAGCAGGCCACAGGTTCTAACCCCAGCACTGGCACTGGCTTTTTTGGACTATTAATTTTAAGATTTGCAGTTTCTGTTTCTACGCATATTTCGGAGCATCTTAAACCAGGATCACTGATTTGAACTAATCCACACTCACTGAAAAATTACCTTACAGCTGTCTGTGGCATTCTTACTCTCCTTTTAACTTATTTCTGATCTAATACTGAACCTAAAAAAGATAAACAATGAAATACTACTGTAAGCAGCAGGCGTTGGAATCACTACATGCCTCACAATATGATATCACAACATTTGTGCCACAATACAATTCTATTACAATGATTTAAAAGATTTGGGACATGCTAAGTACTGCAATACAACAAACTGAAATAAATGTGTTCCACCCACAAATCCACCCACTTCTAGGGTCTCCCCACATTA